CAGCAAGGAATATATGAAAATGGATACGCCGGTGCTTTGGGTGCACAAACAGATGGTGAAACTTGTGAAGAGCTTCTCTGTGCCTGGCTCTGTCTCCATCCAAAACGACTGCACCCTGAGCAGCACCACCAGCAGGACCCGCCTCGGTAGTTTGCACAAAAGGAGATGGGAGGAGGGGAAAAAAAGCAGAGTTTCCATCTGACTCACCTGCAACTGCTGATAGAGCAGCAGGGAAGGGTGAGCACGAGACACGGAGAGGCCTGACCGGCCCCGCGCTGAGCGGAGGCTGCGGGGGGATCTCCGCGGGGAGGCTCGCGCCGGCCGGGAGCGCGGAGCAGAGCCGGGCTCTGCCGGGCGCTCTGCCGAGCCCGCGGCTCCGGACGCAGCGGGGACACGGGGCAGAGCGGGGACACGGCACCTCCTGCCAGGAGCACGGGGGTGTCACACGGCCCCTGTGCCCCCAGCCCTCCCCAAAGTTCCTGAAGTGCCACAATCCACCAAGGGCACAAGGTGAATCTCATCCTGAGAAATCCCTCTGCTGCTCCTGGAAATAAATCCTTAGCTGCAAACCCAGGGCTTACCTGAGGGGACAGGGAAGGAGACAAGCAGCTCGAACATCTCCCAAAATACATCTGAGGAAAGGCAAAGAATTACCTTAAAGGTCAGGAAAACAGTCGTTTTTGAACACTGTAAACATGCAGGGTGGCAAAGCTGCCTGCCCCGTCGCCCCGGCTCGAGCGCTTTCAAGACGGTGCTTTGGCTGCAAAGCTGAAAGTCTTCTTGTCCTGGAAGCAGCTCGGTTTTCCCTCCTCCCTGTCCTTAGCTAGCAGCTCCGTCACAGACGACCACGGGCTCTGTCCCTTTGGCAGTGAAGCTCATCGTCCAGTAATCCGCGCTGGCAAAACCTTTGGGAGATGCAAGGAGGAGCCCAGGTTAGATGAATCCATCCCCAGGGCCTGCCCACACTCCCCACGGGGCGATAGCTCCACAGGAATTCCTTGAAAAGACACAGCCCTCCATGAAATGCTGCTTTTATAACACCCAGCAGAGCGTTTGTTGTCCCTCACGTTGACACTACTGCTCCATTTAGCCACTTTACACTCAGCATCTCACAGTAGCAGGTTGATTTGTGTTCCAGAAACTCCTGATCCAGAAGGATTGCTCTTCTTTCCCACTGCCAAAGTGCTGAAAGCCACCCCAGCGCGGAGATGTGATGGTGCAGACCACCTTCCTGGCAGTGAGCTACAAGAGACGCAGCTGGAAGCAGCCTCCTTGCTCCAAACGCTCCCGCAGACCCTGCATGTTGCAACAGGTACTCACCGAAATCCCCAGCCTCCAGCTGCACCTCGAAGGTCCTGCAGTGTCCTCTACACTTGTCCAGAGGCACCACGGTCAGCGTGAGCTGTCCGCTCCCCACAGCGAAGAGGCTGTGCAAGCTGTAGCTCTAGGATGAGAGCAGGAGGGAGGATATCAGGCCAGAAACCCCCCTTCCCTGACGCTTCTCTGTGGCAGCTGCCTCAAAAGGGGGGAATCTCACTGCCAGGAGCAGCTGGGGGACGAATTTCTCACCTTATTCCCTAAATCTGGATGGCGGATGAGGAAGCAGCTCTCCAGGGACACCGACTTAGGGAAGGACAGTAGAGAGGAAGCGGGGAAGAATTCCTGCAGAATCCGAGTTTTATTTGGAGACTTGTTCCTTAAAAATGAACAGATTAAAAACAGATCACACTGTGGTTATACTGGTGTTTAAAAGGCAAGATCCTTTCGGAAGGGGGAAATCAGTCCTGTGAGCAAAAACTTCTTCCTTTCTTAACCGTGGGCTCCCTCCTTCCTTCTCCTTAGCACCTGCAGCACGACCACATGCACAGGGCACGGGCAGGTCACTATGGATACCTAAACAATTTCTTTCCCTTAGAAACATTCTGAATCATTGATCACGTTCAACAGTCACAACAGTGAGGGAGGTGGCACCGTGCACAGCAGTAACTGGAACCACATGGCAAGGCGGGGGGAATCCAAATCCCTTTTCTAGGCCAGGGAACAAGACGGGAACAGGCAGGGTGGGGCCTGTTATTTTTACATTTCTGATGAGTGGCTCTGCATGATTAATCGTTGTGCACCACGATCGCCCAGCGCCGGGCCTGGAAGTCACCCCAAGAACCACCTGGAGCCTGAGCCCAATTCCTGACCCCTTCGCGCCTTTCTCCAGGTCCGGTGCCCCGCGTGACGGAGGTGGCAGCACGCAGGACGCTGCTCCCTCGCTCCTACCCTCCCAGCTCCATGCCAAGGGTCCCCTTCCCGACTGCTTTACTCGAAAAGCCTTGGCCAACGTGCTGGGCTGCTCCACAGCCTTGGAGAGCTCTGAACTGCGGAAACGTCTGGGCCCCACAGGACAAGAGGGATGAGGAGCTGCTGGAGAGAGTCCAGCGCAGGGCCACAAGGATGATCAGGGGCCTGGAACATCTGCCCTATGAGGAGAGGCTGAGGGAGCTGGGCCTGTTCAGCCTGGAGAAGAGAAGGCTGAGAGGGGACCTGAGCAGTGTCTAGAAGTACCTCAAGGGAGGCCGTGAGGAGGATGGGGCCGGCCTCTTTTCACTGGTGGCCACCGACAGATCTAGAGGTAATGGCCACACACTGAAACACCAAAAGTTCCACAGGAATGTATCAACAGTGAGGGTGACAGAGCACTGGAACAGGCTGCCCAGAGAGGTTGTGGAGTCTCCTTCTCTGGAGATCTTCAAACCTGCTTGGACGCAGCCCTGTGCCACGTGCTCTAGGTGACCCTGTGTGTGCAGGGGGCTGGACTAGGAGACCTCTAGAGGTCCCTTCTAACCTTAAGCATTCTATCCTTCTATGATTCTATGAAACGTTTTGGACCCTCAGGAAGTTTTAGTGTGTTCCGAGGGGGCCGGGATTAAGGGGAACTGGTTTTCCACCACGAGACCAAACTGCGGGGACTGCAGGAGCCTCCGACCTTCAAGGAATTTGCAGAAGTCAGGATAAGGCTTCTTTTTCCGAGGGGGCTGGGATTAAGGGGAACTGGTTTTCCATCACGAGACCAAACTGTGGGGGACTGTGGGAGCCTCCAACCTTTCAGGGATTTGCAGAAGTCAGGATAAGGCTTCTTAGCCAAAACTAATGGCAGCTGATTCTCACCAAGCACAGGTGATTAACACCCTTGGAAAGGGAAACCATTTGCCACAGGTGATCAGACCACAACCCACACAATCAGCATATGGATTGAAGAGCAGGACCAACCAGTCACAGGGGTATTTTGGTCTTGTAAAGGGAGAAGTATATGAAAGCCCAGTACAAACAACATCATCTTCATGGAGAAGCCTTCCACTTGAACGCAGGCAGCGCCAGGAGGGGGACAGAAATCCGTTTCTTTTCCCTGTCCCTCTAGTTGAAGTGCAACTGCTAAGTTATTCACACAGGCAAATCCTGGGCATTCCGGCAAAAGGGAAGTGTCTGTCTGCTGCGTGCTTTGTCTTTGACTCACCAGGGAAAGAAAAATGGGAAGCTCTGTCTTGGAAGGCAGCTCCACAGCTCAGCTGAATATTCTTCTATTATAACCTCTGCCAGTCCTGGATCCTGGGACTGAAAATGCTTCAGCTCTTCGTAAGAAAGATACTGTCCTGTCTTAAACAACAAAAGAGAGCAGGATGAAAACGCGGCACCCGGGGCTTTTCCCCTCTCCTATTTCCACCCCACCACAGAGGATCCAAGAGGGGCAGCTTAGCACACTCCTAACCACAGTTAATTAATAATTAGCTACTGGACTAATCACACAGCCCTACGAGTCCGTTACCTTCATTAGAAAAGGCTGAGCCCTCTGGAGCTTCTCTGCTATTTCGCCAAAGTCTGTCACCACGGGGAGGCTCCTCACAGCAGAGCAGCCCGTGCAGTTTGCAGCGGGCACGGAGCTGTTCCGCCCGCATCCCGCTGCCCACCAGTCCTGGCATCCTTGGAGCAAACGAGAGAATCACATTTAATGAGACAAAAACTGAAACGCAAAGGAGACGGACTCTATGATGAAATCGTTATCCCAAACACTAAACAGGAAGGTTTCTCGTAGCTTCCCAGCTATGTTCTTCAAAAATTCCTAAGGAGCAAGTGAACCGGGGCAGGAAACTCATCAGAGAACATTTCCAGCACAGGCTGAAGATCTTGGAGATACCATTTCTGGGTGAGAAGTCTGTGCTTTGCGCTGGGCCCTGTGCATGGTTTGCAACACAGAGGCTGATGGAGAACATGGAATTTCACCAAAACGTGCTGCTGGCAAATTCATTCACTGCGTGTATTTGCTTGGGAGCTAAAATGGGAAGAAATTGCTGTTATCCTGCAGTCAACAGACTGGCCGACACTGAACGCTGCACGCGTGCACGTCGCCAAAAAGCAGATTTCCGCGTGAAATAATTCCTTGAGGCCGATATCCGCCCTCCTTTCCCCAAACTAGCAGCTCTCCCAGCACGAGGAGTTAGGTAAACATTAAAACCATTGAATGAAGGGTCCCAGTGAGAGTGCTGCCGAGTGCCCCACGCACTTCCATGTTAACGGATCCTCAGGAACAACCATCACACCGAGGGGACCCGGCTCTTATTAAACAGCAGCGACAACCCTGGCTCCAAAGCCGTATTTCTGTGAGGGAATTAAACTGGGAAAGGGGCAGGAAACCCTCCCAAATGCCTGATCTGCTGATCTGGGAGGTGGGTTAGAAAAATCCAGGGCCCAGACCCGGCCGGGACCAGCATGTGTCAGAGCAGCTCATGGCCCTGGGACGGGGCTGCAGTCCCGGGTTTTTCTAACCCACCTCCCGGATCAGCAGATCAGGCATTCCCCTTGGGAAGCGGAGGGGATGGGAAAGGGGAGAAAGAGCAGAAAGGGAAGCTGGGCTGAAAGACGGAGCTGGGAAACAACGGGGCACGGCAAGGAAAATCAACCCTTCGTGCAGCCCTCCCCAAGGGTCCCCATTTCCAGCCTCGCTAACGCTCAGTGCGAGGGTCACCATCCATAAGTGCTGCTTCCTAGGAGGGCACTGGTTTTATTTTTCCTTCTGACATCTGCAGCAGACAGCAGAGGATTAAGGTTCATTGGGAGATAACAGCAAAGCTGCAGTTTAGGATTTATTTTGCTTTCCTCTCTCTCAGTATCTCCAGTCAACTCCCAACTGCTGGATTTCCCACCCTGCTGCTGGGATTTGGACTGAAAAGGATCAGGATGGAACTCCTACTCTTGCTGGAAGATGCATCCACACTGTTTTCAAGGGGCAGAAAAGGCAAAAAACAAAGTGTAAAATTCTAACTGCGAGCACCAGTCCCACTCCCATGAGAAACTGCTCCAAGGAACTTTCCCTCCCTGCTCACAAGAGCAAAAAGAAAATCTTTGTTCTCCCGGCTGTAGAAGGCTTCAGTTTTACAACAACAACAAAAACCTCAACTCACAAAAACCAGCTGGTCAGGGACGGGGAACAAAAGGCTGAAAGATCTCACCAGGGGAAGGGCAGCCGCCGCGAGCGGAGAATAAGGAAACGTAACTCATGGTCTGCCGCGACACCGGCGCGAACACGACTAGGATTTGCTTCCAGAGGAAAACTTAAGCATCATCATCCATGAGGATTAAGCCCCTAAAAACTTCCCCCTCCCTGGGCTCAGGGCTGTAACCCCCCAAAGGGGGTGCTAATCAGCTTGGTACAGAGCTCGGTTCCTCTTTTGAGCTGCTCCGGGATATTTGCATTCTCGATTGCTCGATTCAGGCGGTCGTTTCTTCTCTCCATGAATAACCCAAGGGCGCACGGGCCGATTGCAAATGCTGCAAGAGGGGCTGTGGGGTTTTTCTTCTTTTATTTTTTGCAATTAATCTTTTAGACTGATTGTTGAGGCTGTTACAGCCTGCGCAGCCGCTCGCGTGTGACTGGCATGACAAGTATGGGCAGGAGCTTCGCCGGGGATGCTCGGCCTTCCCCTTTGGCTCCCTCCGCTCCTTCGGGATTATTCCCTGCCCGGACACCCTGGGGGATTGCTCTGGTTGAGGCTGACACGTACAACTCGCCGGGCACAGCGCAACGACCGCCTCCCCTTCGTGTTTTACTTGCCCACCCTTCCGTGAGAAGGTTTGTCCAGCAGAACGTGGGTCCCTGGCTGTCCCCGTAAGCAAGAGCCGTGTTTATCCTGTTATTCTCCAGGACAAGAGCTGTCCCTGTGTCTGGACACGTCCCAGCTACAGCCAAGGCCCTTCCAGCTGCTAACGCAGCGCAGATGAAGAGATAACAACTCGCTCAAAACGCGCCCACGATTAATGCGAGGGGTTTACGAGCCGACTTTCCACGAGGCAGAGAAAATAATTTTCAAGTTACAATCACTCTGCAATGAGCACTCCGCCCTTCTTGGATGTTTTTGCAAAGGATCTCCCAAGTTTCTTGGCCGTCCCTAGGACTAGGAGGGCTGCATGTGCGCGCAGCCCCAGAGATGCTGGGTGGGGATGAACCAAACTGGATGCTGAAGAGATCATTAAAAAGATATGGCCCTGCCTGTGCCAGCTGCGGAGCAGCAATTAAACCCATGGAAACCTGCCCATATATGTGTGTATATAGATGTGTATATATGACAGCTACCTCACAGGAAAATCTGGTGCGGGGAAAGGGGGGACTCTCCCAGGCCTATTGCCACCGTTACCCACAAAAAATAGAAGCAAGCTGCCCAGAAAGCTGTCAAATGCACCAAGCAGCTCCACGACGTGTAAAAGTTGGTTCAAAAGCCCCGATTCCTCTTTCTGAGGTTGCTGTTTCCCAGCCCCGGCACATTACTCGCTAGGGACCAGTCCTAGGAGCAGTCGAGCAGCTCCAGCAAGGCCGGGAGGAATTCAGGGCTCCCGAGAAAGCCTGCTCTGTGCAGTGGGTTCGCACGACTCCATCCCGAGGACACAATTCCCAGGTAACCTCCGGATGGGGAGATGCCACGTTGGCCCCAGAGCCTCCTGGCGCTGCAAAGCGGAGAAGATGCTGCTCCCCACACACAGGGTCTCCCCATGGCTGCACATCCAACGCAGGGAGCTTCCCGAGCAGATCTGAATGGACCTCTTAAAAGAAGGGATCAGTAAGACCTCGGCCTACCTGCCGCCTTGGGCTGTCCTTTCTCCTTGGCAAAAGGGTGGATGTGTGGGCAGGTTGGGATACTTGCTTCCTCCTTCCTTCATTCTTGCAGCAAAAGGTTATCCACGAGCTGTTTCTTATAGCTGACCAAGGGCAGAGCTTTTTAATGACAAGTGAAGCCACCTCTAGGACTCCAAGCAATGAGGAGCCCAGGAAATCCATCCAATTACTACCTGCAACAGTGATCTAGAGCAGGGCTGCAGCTTTTCCTGCATTTAGGAACACCCCAATTCCAGATGCTGGATTTTACAACATTGTTTTCCATTATTTTAAGGACAGGGATTTGCCAGGTCTGGCCCTTAACCCTGAAGTGAGGCTGCAGCTCGTAATGGACCGTTCTTGCTCTGACAGCCAGAGAAGGCCAAGTTTTTCTTGCTCCTGAGGCATCATTAACCACTGGGGCCACTGCAGACTCACAGATACTGGACACCTCAAGAAAATAACCTGCTCCCTGTACAGCTATGCCAAAGCAGGGGCTCTGCTATACGCTTATCAACACCTCCCTACCCCTTATAGAAAGAAAAACCAGTATTTTAATAACTCAAAGCAATCTGCAGATATCAACTGATTATTACAGCCCACAACATGAGTAAATCTCATCATCTCTGGGAAAAGCAACTTTTCCCAAAGCTCCATCTTACTGAAGTTTTTCCAGCGGGCTAAAAGAATTGATCATTTTCCTGTCAAGTCAAAGTCAGATGAAGCCAACGGGTTCCTGAGCATGTGAGAAGGCAATCACGAGATGTGCTTACTAATCACAGCGTGGCAGTCCTGATTAAGGGAGGCATCACAGTGGGATTTACATGCAGGCTACAGAAAGGGTCCTTATTCAGCCCACTGCCCCTCGCCACTTCCTCAGGTTGGACATTTCTGCAGCTCGGAGCATCCTGGGCATATTTTGACAAGAAAGCACCTCCCAGTTTACTTGAGAGCATTTTTAGGAAAAGCCATCAAGAAAATAACAACCACCCCCTGCCCAAGAGATCCCGGGTTGTTCTAGGTAAAAGGCAACAGCTCGAAGAAGATCTCATTCATTTCAGTAATGGCTAACGGCTGCTCAGACAACCCAAGGACGATCAGCCAGTCTCTAGCAAAGGACAAAAGGGATTTTTGATCCGCCGCGATGCTGCGAAACGAAGCTGCTCAGCCTGGAGGAGCTCACAGGCCACGTGCACAAGGGAGCAGGACACGGGGACAAACCTGCACATACCAACCAAACTGAAGGTCTCCTCGGAGGTCCCCTGCAGCCCTCGCGGCCGGGGCGATGACACCGTTTCCAAACAAGCTCCCCTGGTTGTTCCCACGTGCCTGGCAGCAGCCTGAGGCCGCCGGTTCGCCGGGGCTGCGCAGAGGGCTCTGCTCGTCTACCAAACGCCCCCATCTCCACGGCACAAACGCTCCTTGCGAGGGAAAACCCACCGCTTGCTTGTCAAACAAGGAGACAATAAATCCCGAGGGCTTCACAATATAAAAGCAAAAGGGAGAGCTTAAACATTCTGGATTCCCACAGTTATTTGGGTTAGTTTGCTGTCAGCAAAGCCAAGCAAACAACCCCCTGGCTGAATCAAGGCCAAAATAAAGCAGTATATGAAAACATCCGGCACCACCCTGCAGGGCAGAGTCAGCCCTTTCTTTCCTCCCCATGAATGGGCCGACACTGCCTAAGAGTCAGGTTGTATCACCAAAGGGTCATTCACAAAACGGAGAAACAGGGTCAGCCAAACTGCGGGGACGGGAGGGAACGGGCACCTCCGAACGCTCCGGCCCCACAAACGGCCGCGCGAGGAGGTGCCCGAGAACACACGAGCCTGAACAGGGCAAGTAAATTGGGCTGAGGAACAGACTGAAGACCTCTGTGAGCGAGGAGGAGGCTGCCCTGAAGGCAGCAAAGGCGTCTGGCCATCAGACCATAGAGCTGGGCAAGAAGAGAGAGGTCAAGATTGGCCTTGCGAGTGCACGGGCCCTTTCAGCCCAGCGCCGAGCCCAGGATAATGGGGCACGTGTGTGAGAAGCCAAAGGAAGCTGCCTGCAAAGGGTTCGGAGCAGGAAGATGCCAGAATGTGGCCGGACGCCAACGCGAGCCTCAAGCTGAGCGTGGAGGGGCAGAGGCTGCTGTTTGCTCCAGTGGAGCTGCCACCCATCCCTGCAAACAGCTCTCGATGCACCCGACGGGCCTCGCCATGGGACAGGGACAGGCCGTTTGCAAGCTCTTGCCTGAAGTCCTGCAGCAAGGGTCGTTTCTCTGCTTTTTAGCCCTTTTGGCCTATCCAAAAGGGAGTCTTTAACACAAGCAGTCTGCCCTAAGCCAGGGTGGCCTCTATGGGATGGCTTTTCCACTGCTGAGCTGTGCACGTGCACCTGATTTTGGGGGTGCCAGCTATTGACCCACTTGATTTTAAACCATGCAGGATGTATTTGGTCAGGACAGGGCACCCTTATTAGGACCCACACTGGATTTGCCTTTCGGTCATGCCAGGGGCAGCGCACGTTGCACCAAGGAGAACCTGAGCGATCGGGAAGGCAGGGACACAAACCTGCCGCGCTGTCCCGCTTCCGTGGGATCGGGGAGGAGGCAGAGCAGGCTCCACAGAGGACCTCGGGCTCAGGAGCCTGATGGGGGGGGCACACATGGAGTTTTCCTCACTATCTCCCCAAATCAGAAATCCAGCCCGGAGAGCCGCTCCTGCCAACACCCATCTCCAGCTGAGACACGTCTGGTGGCACCTGAACGTGGCCTCAGGAGCCCCCAGCGAGCCGGACAGGGTGCGAAGGACCCTCCCTGCAGAGGCAGACACGGAGCCGGCCCTGGGCACACGCTGCTGGAAGAGGAACTTTCGCTCTGCTTAGCCAGGATTCTGCTCTGTCTGGGTGGTTGGCAAAGAGCAGTTATCAACCAGTTGCCAACGGGACATCTCGGTTCACAGTTAGATGTGGGTAAAGCTATTGGAATGTCACAGCACCACAAAGGGAAGAATCATGGATAAATCTGTAGAGTATCCACCATTATAATGTTAAAACTTCCATTAGAAAAGCGAAAAATCTTTTTCACGTGGCCCCTGGTACCACAAGCGCCAGGAGCTCCACTATCCTCACGTTCCTTCCACTTTAGGGGACACAGAAGCGCTCTTATCTGTGACTTGGCAGGTAGAGAGTGACAAAGCAGCGCCTTCCCTTTTTGACATGGGCTGATGTGGACAAGGAGATGAATCCAGGGCACGCTGGCTCTGCCTTCCCCTCGGAAGCACAGCGGGAAGTCTCGTGTTGACCCACGTGCCCATGCGGAATTCGCTGCGGTTCCGATAACGGGTCCAGGCCGGCTGAGCCGGCGCATCCCGGGCCGGGATCTCGCGCCGGCTCCGCGCGGTGCCCACGTGCGGAGACGCCGTCTCCCCCGCGCGGCGCTGGCCCTTCTCGAGCGCTGCATAAACACGAGCTCAGGAAGGGCAGATGCAAACCACAGTTCCGCACAACTTTTCCCCAAACCGATGGGACCTCGGTTCCTAGTCCTGGGAAAACAGCTGAAGGAGAGGCAAAGGGGCCAAACCCAAGGATCTAAAGGACAGCTTTGAAGAAACAAGGGGTGGAAACACTAGTTTTAATATGGGAATTGATCCGGGGGGAAAAAGCAGGCAGGCAGCAGAAGAGAAAAAGAGGCAGAAAGGAAATTTACTTTGGATGTGATCCTACAAACCTAACGCAAGAGACATCCCCTCTTTGCACAAACTGCTCTTCACCTCTGCTGGGCCATTAATGGCTCAAAGGTCCTCCCACAGCCCCGGCCACACAGACAACCCTTGTCATTCGCAGCAGGGCTCTTGGGGCAGGAGGAAGGTGAGGAAGAACAGGACACACGGAGCTGGGAGGAGCGGGAAGCGATATCCTGCCCGCGCGCTCCTCCGGGAGCCCGGACACCACCCGAACCCGCCAGCCTCTCCGAGGAGCCGGAGGGCCTCCTTGGTGGGGCAACAGGCTCCAGTCCTGGACACAAACCTGCCCCAAAAGCTCTACGGCCAAAACGGGCTCGGAAGAGGGAGCTCAGCCCCGGCGCCGGGTGCGGAGGACACGGAACGGAGCAGCCGGGGCCCCCGCTCCGCTCCCCGCTCCAGGACCCTCCGCGCGGCTCACGGGAGCCTTCCGGCACAGCAGGATTTGAACGGTGCCCAAGCACACGAAGCTCCGAGCTTCACCTCAGCCCCTCCAAAATTAACCTACCGTGGACTCACATGGAGAAAGGAAGAGGAGTCTGCAGCCCATTCCCCGGGTTAGCGTTTCCTTCTGCTGCTCTGTCTCCCTGCATGGGTTTTCTCCTAGACCTGCTCGCGCTCACAGCAAGCACCACGAGGGCAGATGTGACATTACCCTTTCCCCTCGGGGCACCCCAAGGGCAAAGCAAAGGGCAGAGCATTGCAGCACGCACGGGAAGCGCCTGGGAGCCCGCCCGGCCCCACACCACGCCGCTTACCTCCCCTTGGCCCTGCTGCAGCTTTTTTTCCTTTTTTGTTTTTTTTTAGCAGGGTACATTGGAGAAAAAGCACCAAGATGTCACCAGCGCCGCCGGGACAGCCCCGGGGAGCTGCAGCTGCCCGCTGGGAAGGCCGGACACGCGGGATTCCCACAGGAATCCAGCCAAGGTTGAGCCTGGGTGCTGCGCTCTCCCAGGCGAATCCGCGCGGCCCGGCCCGGCTCGAGGCACGAGGGAAGGCAGCCGAGCCCTCCCCAGCACACTTGTTAATTGGGGCATGCTGTAATTTTCACCTAACAACCTAACACGTCGCAAAGGCGGAGGGGGAACAGCCTCAGCCCATCTGCACCACCCTCCCACCCCAGACCTGGCCTTCTGCCCATCCATACTGCTAACCCCTTCGGGAGCTCTCCGGGCACTATGGAGGCACAAGGGATTTTGTGTTTAACACCAACCACATCCTGCCTTGCCAGAAAACCTGGTTTTCCCTTGCTCTCCTCGGATATTTCCGTTTTCCCCCCATTGAGCTGTTTTCACATGAGTAGCCCAACACCTGTTTATCTTCACAGCAAGATGCCCGTGACTTTCTGCCCTGCAACGAGGGCCACCCCTGTCCTAGAAACCTTTGGTGTCCCAAGGAACCTCACTGGACTCTGCCCACCCAGGGTGGCCCTGTGCAAACACGGTGGCGTTTGAAGGACGCGTCTGCCAGCGCCTCCTGATCAAAATTACATGCACCCAGCACGAGCCTAGGAGCGTCTGTTGGTTTCCATCTCAGCGCAGGAGGAGAGGGCAGTGCCAACCGAAACGCTGCAGACCAGCAGGCTGCTGATGCCAAGTGGGTCTCTGCACCTTGTTTCGTCCTCCCCGTGGGAGATCCTGATTGATAAGGAAGCTGACGAACCACGCGGGGTACCCTGGCCCTTCCATAGGGACTCGGATCCGCAGAGTCACACACGTTGGTGGCACAGGGGGACACACACAACCCAGAACCGGGCTGGCATTGCGGGGCGACCGTTTTAGCTCTGGCAGGAAGGTCAGAGCCCGAACACAGAACTGTGGCACAATGAGCCTAACATAAGCTAAACCTAAATATAAACCAGCCAAGGGCACGGACACAGGGGTTTGTTTTTACAGTGAGCCAAGAGACGACCGACACGGTGCCACTTCCCTGCTCCAAATTCAGGGCTTTATCGTTGCTGACAGTCTTTGTGTTTTATCACAGAGGCAGAGCCCGTCTTACGCCCATTTGCCAGCCTAAGTCGGTGGAAACGATTAACAAGGAATGGGAAACACTCAAACCTTCCCATTTCTATTATACCAGGCTCAGAACATCTATTATCTTCATCTCCCATGACGGGGCCACGTAATTAGGGAACCAGTTATCTAGGTGCCTCACACACACATTACCCTTAACGTTAATTCAACTGCTACAAACACTGTTGCCAAATTTTCCAATATGCCACTTGGCAAAAATTGCTTTTTTTCTTAAACCCCGGTCATGTGTTGACAATTCTACACAAATACCAAGATTTGGTTGACAAACTGTTTCTGCTTGCTTACTCAGAAAAGAAATAAACACAATAAACCCAAAAGTAGCAGTATTTTACCTGCTACTATCTCTACAATAGGACTCTACTCGAAGGTATCGAGACCTTCACTGAGATTTTTTAGAGAAAGGGCAACTTTGGGGGAAAGAAAAAACACTGAGAAGTTAAGAACAAAGAAAAGAGAACATGCAATAAGAAAATGATGAAGTTAGAAAATAGACTACAGTCCCAAACAATAGCTGGGAAATTGCTCCTGCTAAAATACAGGATGTTATTTTTAACTATAGTGGTAAGAAAAAAGAAAAACATGGTGTGATGCCAGTAACACATTTGCTAGTTGGTGCCCGGGGAGATGTGCACGGCTGGTATTTAACTCGGTATTTCTAGCTACGTTAGAGCACAGAAATGGTTTCCTTACTCTCGAGCATGTACTTCTTGGCAATCGGCAGGGAGAGCAGGCGGATGTGAGCGACGAGGGAGCCCCAGGCGTGGGCCCTGGAGAGCGGCGCGTCGGGCGGCCCCGGGCTGGCCGGCTGCAGCACGACGTACGCGGTGAGCAGGAGCAGCGCCAGCGTGAGCACGGCCTGCGAGGACAGAGGCACGCGGTGAGCGGCGCCGCGCGGCCCATATTCCTATTGGAGCCCTGCCAAAAAGCTGGACACGGGGCCACGAGGAACAGCCACAGCCCGGGCTGGTTCCTCCTGCCTCACCAAATAAGAGCTTGGGCTCCCGCCAGACCTCTTGCACCCTGCAGAAATTGCTTCAAAATGCTTTGGCAGAGCTGGCACCAATTCCCTCCTTCATACTAGGCTTTGAATAAGCTTTAAAGGGATGATATGACACATTTTTCCCCCGGTCAAAGTCAAAATGAATCAACGGCAAAAACAAGAAAAGAAGCTCCAAGAAACTGGAAGTTCCAATTTCCAGTTTCCTGATCTCCTTGCCTTGTTACACAGCATTTATAGGATGGGGAACAAGATATCTTGAATTCTTCTCCAAATAGAAACTTTTAATGATTAAGCTACAAAGAACATTACTAAATGATGATTACTAGAACATTACTAAATGATGATATATTATTCACTCTGATGATATATTATTCACTCTATATTTTCACTCTGTAGCAAATATCTCCAAATCACCTAGCAAAAAAGCATCCTTTTACCCACTTGGTAATACTGTGCATAGTATCTCGGGACTTAATGTTCTCAAACATTTTTCCATCATCAAATTTCACAGCAAATAGGTCCATGTTACAGAGTAGGGGCAGAATGAAGACAGGTAGAAGCCTGTGGCAGGATCAGAAGCAGAACTTTGACCTCTCAATTACCCAACCCTGAACTTTAAGACTCTCCTTCCTTCTTCACATTTCTGCTAAAGGTGCTGATGTTGGAAATCTTTCCCTGCAGAATCAATCCAAAGGCCTCATTGTTTAATAACTTAAGGAGTGGGAAGCGTTGACGTGTTGACTTTCAACACACGTATGAAATTCCAAGCCACATTCAGCCTTCCTTCTGTTTGCAAACCAACTCATGGAAGGAAGGAGGTAAGCTGCATTTAATGGCTTTTTGTAAGTACAGTTCAGGAGAATTCATCAAGAAAATGCAAAAGGAAATAAAAGGCTCAGGTGCAAAAGATCTTCAGCCTCTCCCACGGTCCCTGATGTCTTACCTTGTAGAGAAATGCTAAGATAGGGTACCGTGGAGGTCCTCTTTGGGGTTCATTCCTTTCCAAGAGCTGCTTGACGAACTTCTCAATGGCTCTTTCCGACATCCCGCACTGGTGGCCCGTCTGCCGCACCAGCTCGATCGTCTCGGAGAGCTTGTCATAGATGCTGAGTTCGCTGGTCGTAAGCTCCATGGCCGCCGATGAGAAAGCCCTGCAGAGAGACCCCACAACGTCAACAGACCAAAAGAAGCCAGAAAATCAACCGATTGAGAGGCTCAGCTCATGTAAACTTCCCCAAAATCACTGAATCTCCAGTTCTTCACTCATTCCTTACAAGCCTGAAGCACGACATGGTTCCTCACCAAGGGTGAGAGCCAGCAGAGCACAACTGACCCACACGCCGCAGCAAAGCCGAGCGCTCCCGCACTGTAAATTCTAATCACTTCCCTTAACACAGTTTTCTTTTTTTTTTTTTTTCCCTGATTAAATCCCCTGTTAACAACAAGAACGGGAGAGAGAAACAAGCAGTATGTGTGGGGCAAAGTTTAAGATTTTACAATATATTTATGTTTACGCAACGAAACGTCCAGGTCAACTGATCATTGGGCAACAGCAACGCGATAGTGCCATGGCCTGGAGGCAAGCCAAGGTCTTAGGGTTGTGTTCCTCCCCAAATCTGCCATCAGGTCACTCATGAACGGGAACGCCGTGTGACCACAAATTGCACGGCTAACCAGAGACCAAATGGCACGTGACACCATCTCCCACCACGAAATTCCGACAGGGACTCTTGCAAGAACACACCGAGGAGCCAACAACTCAAGGTGCCATCGAAGAACCGCTGTTCCTCTGTCACCGAGGCAGAAGCTGCAATACCCAGAACTGCAGCTGGACTGAAGAGAAGATAGAAGGAAGGATCCGGAGAAGCTAAAAGCTGGAAAGAAGAGAATGCCATTGCTAGAGGGATGTTTAGCCTTGGCAAAATGCTACCCAGGGCAAGAGAGCACCTGTGAGGTCTTATGTTGCTTCTTTTGTTCCGAGCTCGGAAAACTCTAACCTGGATCAAACTGGAAACATAAAATCCCAAGATGTGTGGCAATTTTCCACAGGACCACTGGCTGCAGCAATCACTCCCTTTTCCCCATCTGCGCTCCAGCGTCAACTCCCTGTTCTGCTCTTGCGCATTTGTCTTTATGGTCACATGGGGAATCAGATCAGGAAAATTATCTGGCTGGAAAATAACCCTTATTTGTTTAGGCAGCAACTGCCAAAGCGTCCGGCTCCAGCAGCTCATGTCAGACGTTACATTAACATTAGTGTCAAATATCTAACTGCAGCCGTAGAAACACCAAAACAGCAAATTGTCAAACTAAAACCCCAAGCCCCCAACGGGAACACGCTGCCCCACACTGCCTGGTTAATTCGTTTCTGGCCCTGCTCTGCCACCGTTCCTGCCACTCGCTGCAGATTTGTCCTGGATCTTGCTGCCTGGGCAGACTCAAGGGCTTGAGGTGCCCAAAAGCAGGTTTGCTCGATATCCCGTTGTGGACTGCAGGTTCTCCAAGGCCGGGATCCTTCCTTCCGACCTGCAAAGCACCTGGAAGGCCCTTGGCTCTATAAAGCCAGCACGCTGCTTTATTAACTCTTTCATTAAGAAACAGCCTAATTGATAAAACAGGCAACAGCTGGCACATCTGTAGGGTACTAAATGCCCTTTTCTTCTTTTTTTTCCCAGCTTTTATGATTACTCGTCCTGACGCTGCAAGACCACTACAGTAAATGGTCTAAAGGGCGACCTCGCTTCCTCCAGCTCCCAAGGGCCGAAGTTCAAGCCCACGAACCTCTCCCATAGGGCAGCAGCTTCAGCAAACTCTCCCCGCTCGAGACGCTTTCGGGATCCCTGTGGAAATGCCGCTGGCCGAGGCAGCTTCCCCTTCTCCGAGCGGGAGCTCCAGGGATGCAGCTCCCTTCTCCCCTCCACGCCGGCTCCTCCGGCGACGGCCCCCGCGAGTCCCGGGCAGGCACCGAGGGAAACGCGGCCGCCCCTCCGCAAACCCAGCAGCCAGCCGTGCCCTCGGCCAGGAAATAAAGCGTTTTCCTAATAAATTGTCTTGAGAACAGACGAGGGCTAAAAAAATGCCACGATCCATCAGTTCCCTCCCTAACAGCACAACATGAAACAACGTGAGGCTGCAGCGGGTGTCAGCAGCGACCGAGTGTCGCCGCTTTTACGCGGCCCCACGTCAGGAACGGGCTGGTTAGGGCAAACGGCCGCGCTTAGCGCGAATTTAACAGCTCCCGCGGTCCAGGAGGAACCGGAGCACCCGCACGCCTCGGGATGGGCCCCGAAGCTTTGGAAAAGCTGGATATTTAGAGGGAAATGCCGAGAGAGGAGGCGCTTCGCGGAGGGGAGATGCTCCGTGTCCATGCCAGCTGGGCTGTCGTACCTGGGAAATATCAGTAATAAGTAAAAGGCTCTTTTGGTGCCATCGGCTCGGTGACATGGGGCCGGCGGAGGGGGTGGCAGGTCACAGCCCCCCCGTGTCCCCGGCCGGGCCCAGGAACAGGCCCCGCTCGCTGCGAAGCCCCTGGGAAGGGGCCCGGCCCCCGGTCTCGCTCGGATGGTTCCCCGCTGGCGTCAGAGCAGCCCCCAAAAGGGGGTGCCCACCCCCCCAAAAAAAAATCGCTATCCCTGGAAAGGGGGGTACGGCCCCCAAACCTGGGCGCCACCGAACCGCGGGGCACCTCCCAAACCGGGTCCCCCCAAGACGGGGTGCGCCCCCCAAAGCTCGGTACCTCCCGAACCTCGGTGTCCCCCAACAGAG